GATGTCCTTGATGCGTGCCGATGGCATGGAGGCGGCTGGCACCAGATCAGCCCAAGAGAAGGAATGAGAGGCCAATGGAGATTTATGTGAGGAGAGTGAGATGGACAAGGTAAAATTGTCAGGAGGAGTTGTTAGAAAGTAAAATATATTGTGACAATTCCACTCCTGCCGTTCATCAATAAACTGACAGATCATTTAGTGTCAATTAGGAGTGATAGATGGACAAGTCCCCATGATCCTGGGCCAAAATTAATGGCTGGGAGGGAGAGGGTGATTGAAAATGACGGCTGACATTGAGAGGAAAGTCCTGAAGGTCCCCAAGGGGCCATTACTTGCCTCATTCCCTTGCAGATCAATGCAGGGACAAACCCAAAAACAGACACTTCAAGACAAAACTTAATCAGACTTCCTTTTCTTTCTTCTCCTTCTAAGTTGTGCCCCCTCACTTGGCAGCCTTGATCCTTTGTGCCTATACTCTTCACATCATTGAGGACATCCACAGATGGCTGCAAGATGCAGAGCGAGGCTGCCGTCTTCCCCACAGCCAGGAGCCTGGCTCCATTCCTAACATGGCAGTGTCACAGGGAAGCCCAGCCTGAGATTTACCTCAACACTGCTGGACTGGGAGTAGAGGGCAGAAGCAATGACACAAACTTCCCCCTACTATGTCAGATAGAGAAACTCATGAGCACTTTACTACTCCCACTTGCAAGACAGGGATGGCTAGAGGTTCTATAAACCAGGCACTCTCTGGGGTCATTTCGTATAGATACAACGCAGGATAGTTTAAGCCCATATTTTTGAAACAGGAGGTTTTTAACTTTACTTACCTCTAGAGACCTTGAATCATAAAACCCCTTAATCTCTTAAATAACTTTCCTCCAGCTCCAGGGTGCAATCTCACCATTGCCCACCCTCTAGAGCACTAAATGATATCTACACAGAGGATGGGTTACCCTGCTCTAAAGGTCACCCCAACTGCATTCCCCTCCTTCCTACAGGCCCTTAATATTCACCTACTTGTTAAATGCATTCCTGGACACAGTACCACCACTTCTGTTCCAAAATACTTCAGCGTGGTCATTCTCCTAAACAAGCCTTGATTATTCCAACTCTGTATGACCTATCAGTCAGAAAGGAGAAATTTCAGTTGTAACTGGAGCACCTGTTGCTAAACTGCCACGATGCCTGTACAAGAAAGGAGGTACACGTGCAGGCGCTGGAAGGCACTTCCTACTGAAAACAGCATTTGCGTTTGCTTGCAGGGCCACCTGAAATGAGCTGTGTTTATTCCACAACAACCTTAGCTGCTGCCTGCAGAACTATATGAATTTTAAGGGGCTGACTGCAAGACCAAAGGGATCAAGGACCCAAGTAAACTGGAAGTATCCCAAGAAGCAAGGAAATAAAGATGATAATAATAGGGAAAAAAATGGATGAAGTTCTGTAAGGAAAGTCAGAGAGATGAGATCAGCAGAAGCTGGAATTAAATGGATCCTGGAAGCACCTCTCCTTTGTCAAATCCTCACCAGTATGGAAAACTAAGTTCCCTTTTCCCATTGGCAAGCGCTTTGTGTTTCTTCCTTCTGATGCATGAGATAACCTGACAATAAACCTCTGCTTTGCTTGTCACAAGTGTCAACACTGATGTCATTAAGGACATCAGCACAACGTTCAGAATGGCACTTGGGCTCCATCCAGTGGTTAGAGAGCTGCTTCTGTAGCAAAACCAGCTGTAATTACTGTTATTTATGTAATCTCAGCAGGGTACTAGGCCCCAGGTGGCTGCCTAGGTTCTTGGCTGGTCCCCTTTCCTCTAATACTGGGGCTAGAATATTGCTGGGACAGCAATGAGACTGCTTCTTCTCATAGAGAGTGATTCTTCTCTCTTGACTACAAATTTAAATAAATACAGCAGATTCAGGTGCAGAGACCCATATCGGTAAGGAAAAAATATTCTTCTCTCACTACTTTGCACCATTTATTTGCTGATTGCAGAGGACCAGTCTGAGGGTTTGCTCAGACACTTACCTGCAGTCCTCATCATTATCCATTATCCATTTGTGTTTTGTAAATACAAAATGGGAGTCCTAGCAATGACAGCTGTTCTACAGAGGTATTGGGAGTCCAAAGTAATCTTTCCATGCTTGATTTTTGAAAACTTATCAGTAAAAGACAGTATTTTGATAGTTCTCAGGAATTTAAATATCTGGCACCGGTAAATGCTATGGGAACTCAGAAAATACTTTATCGTGCACACCATCTGTGCGCATTAATTTCAAAACTAATTACAGGTTGGAAAACCTTAAGGGCCCCCCTCCTCTTCCTATCTTGCAACAGTCAGAGACAGCAGTAGTCTGATGGAAAGAATCAGCAAGATGGTGAGAATATTTCCAAGTTTACCTAGGTATGACAAGAGCTGGGCAGGTAAGGGACTAAGAGGGAGCAGCAAGGGTAGAAAAACAGAAAACCAGGTTGCAAATTAAATTCTATTCTAACATGTGCCAAATGGAAACAAAAAGAAAAAATTCAAGTGATCATTTCACACTGCTAAGACTCTGAACTAGAAATGCAGCAGAAAAGAGTTTAATTATCCCTACAGAAAAAGCAACAAGTGTGCAGTTGCAACTGACTGCATCTGTCAGAAACAGAACTAAAAGCTTAGACCTCAGATGGGGAGAGAATAAAACATAAACAGCTACAAGATCATTTCACAAGTGGCTGCAGTATCCCATCTGACCCACAATACATTTACACAACACAGAAAATCTAACTGTAGCCACTCTGCTCATCCTTCCTTTCTAAGGAAAAAAAAAAACAAACCACAGATTTTAACACTGTCAGTTCTGAAAAACAAATTACTTAAAGCAGTACAACTCCCAAGTGTAAGCTCAGTTACACTGGCATAAAAGTGCTTATACCTACATCAGATATATCAATAGAAGCATGTTATTCTAACTACATCTACACTAGTGAAATTGGAGCAAGTTAACTTGATGGGCTTCCAAACTGAGTCAAATTGTTTGAAAAGCTGTGGGGAGATAGAGCCTGAGAAAACAGAAACAACAAAGCTACAGCAACATTGGTATGACATCAGCCAATGACTCAGACTTTTCACATGAAGGCTTTACTCTGGGATATGTCACAAAGACAGCCTTACAGGCCAGAATCTCAGACTTTTTTAAGGGAAAGAAGAGAGATCAGCTTGGGGAGAATACACAGCTGAAGGAAAGAAAAGACAGGGGAACTAGTACAAAATCCTTGTACCTCATGTAACTAAAGGAAGTCAGAACAAACCTCCCCTTCAGAAAATTTATTCAATAAAAGCTTGTAATACAAATGAATAGTCAGATATAACATGATATCATATGCATGACTGAGCAAGGGGCACATCTTCATCTCATGTCCCATTGTGCAGAGTCTCACAGGTAGAAAGGTCTGCAGCCTTCCCAAATTGTGTCCAGCCTCATAGGAGCATTTACTCCAGACACCCACTATATCTGTAAATCATGCAATTGGGATGCTGAAGAAGCACCACTGATAGCTACTGCTCCAAAGCTATTAGATGAGGCTAATGTCAAACAATGGAAAACATCCTAAACTAGCACATGGCACAGTGGTTACATTAGGAACCTGTACACTGTCCTTCAGGGCGCATTAGGCACAGCCCTGAATAACTGTATTACCTCCAATCCATTCCTTCACCTAGCCAACAATTACATAATATATTTTTCCTAAACAATGCAATTCACCCTTGTTCTCTGCTGTCACATTTCCGTAAAGCTTCTGCTTGGTCCTACAAAGATCCAGGATCATGGGTGGCATTTTTTTACAACCCTGAGGTGGATGCATCTTTGCAATGGCAACTTCTAGCAGCAGCCAGCCCGTGAAAAATAATACCATTATCAGAGTTAAACTGGAGAGGAACAGAAGGACTTCAGGCTGAGATCTTTATTCCTTTGCTTACTCCAGTCTCCAGATTTTCAGCTGATTTATTCTTCAGAGACTAACAAAGTGATAATTTTCCCAGAAAGGTACTGTTTTCCAGAAAGGCTACCCCAGAATATAAACCACTTTTCTCACCTCCCAAGAAATACTGACTATATAACAGGTTTCTGGATGTCCTCTCCCATTCTCAGGGTTCCAGGAAAGAACATATGTAACTTTTCCATAAATCAGAGTGCCTCCAAAGTATATGTCCAGGCATATACACTCTTATTATAGGCTTTAATGTATAACATATACACCACTCCATGGCTGAGCTCTTCAGCTCTGTGACTAGAAACTGTAACACCAGCATAACTTTACAGCTTGAAAAATAACAGACAGCTTGAAATCAAGTCATCTCCTCCCAGTCTGAACTGTCCTTTAGTTTTCATACCCATTCTATTACCATGTCCAGGTACTTCCTTCCTCTTAGGTGTCCTTCATAAGCATCAGGCTTCTCAACCTACACTCTACAATTTGTAGTTTTTTCCTCCCATCTCTTCTCACTGACCATCTCCGTCCATCTTCATTATACCATAACCCCATACACACATAAACATCAACAAATTTCACCTTTACTGTCAAGGCAGATCACTAGATCCTGAACTGTTCATTGCATTCTTGTCAGTGGGGCACTGTCATGTGTCATTGTCCTGGAAAGGACGCAACCAGTCAAATCCCCCTCCTCCCAGCTCCTGCATTTAACATGCTTACTACGTTCTTGACTCCTTCCAGTTACTGTACCAGGTAAGAAATATACTGCCTCTGGGAGACAGTGACATGTACACAGTTCTGAGCCCCACTAGGCCAATTTATAAAAAGCATTAGCCAGTAGAACCAAGCAAGAGCAATACTTCAAATGGTTTGAAGGCGTTACAATGACATTGGAGACACAGGCCATCTACAAGATCCAGAAAAACTGTTCCAATGCCTGTGACAGCAAAGCCCAACTAGTAATGTTCACTTAATCCATGCCTAAGCCCCTCTTAATAAGGAAAGAGGTGAGGACTCACCTGGTAGGTGCCAGTACAGGATCATCTGCCCAGCCTCCTTGCCGGCGTGGGGGTTTAGGTGGTGGACCCTTTAATAAAGAGAAGAGACACGTTACAGCCAGCTTCAGTCAAAGCAGAGTCAAGCCAACTGAGACACCAGGTCCACACATACTAATGTAACACTTTACCAAATAATAGATGGAGAGATAGTTTTTAAAATGCTGTTTATTCATAAAATAAAAGGAAGACAAATATTGCAGGACAGGTTTTTAGGGGTCTCTGTAAGTAAAAGATGTGTCACTAATCAGTATCTTGACAAGTTTCAGGTCTGTGTGCCTTTGACTTGTCCAGGACACACAGTACAGTAGCAGACTGATCCACCGAGGATGCCTTCCCCTGGCAAAATACGGCTCACCGGGAACTCATTCATTACTGCTCCCCACATTTGGTATTATCATGTTACATCTTTCCTAGGGTACAAGGCAGCACATTTTAGACATCTTGTTTTAGATGAGGAATTGTTCCTAAAAAGCGTCTGCTTTCGTCCACTGCCTAGAACAAGAGGTTAGATGCCAAGTTCAGATACAGCCAGCCATACCAAACACCTCTAAAGCTAGTTGAGATGAATCCCACCACTGCCACCACTGAAATGCTAAAGGGGAAATCATCTGGAGCTTAAAGACACTCCCTGCTCTTTTCTTGCATTGTCTTGTGTGGCACTCTGCCACACAGCAAGAGAGAACATGAATTCAGCTTGGGGCTTAAGATGGGAATTTTCAAAGAATGGGGTCATGAGTGCCCACAGTGTGACAACTGCATATTGCCTTTTGCAGTTTTGGGCTTGGTTCCACCCGCCTGAAGCACCTCGTACAGTGCCTTCAGTGTTTTGCATGACAGGCAGTGGTGAAAGCAGAAGGGCAAGGTGAACCCAGTGGATGAATTTCAGTTTATATAGTTCCCAGTTGATGCTGCCCAGTGAGGGAAGATGGGTTACAGGGACCTGTGAAGGGACCATCATGAGAAAGGATAATTGGGTAAAAGATGTCCCAAAACATGGAAAAATGGTAACTGCAAAGGAGCCTAAGCTGGAGCAATGGCGGGGGGAGGGGGGCAGGTGGCTCCCACAGCTTTTATTACAAAAGGGAACAAGCTGGGCAACTCCTGAGGATTTTTGACTGGACAGAGAGGACCTTGCGTGTGTGGTGGGGTCAACCCTGAGCCAAAGTCAAATTACCTCTTGCCACAGATGAGGAAGAGGTTGAGCTAACCCCTGATGGCAGGGGTCTCCCGTGTTTATTTCTTGAAGCAGAAACATTGTTTGTGAGTGTGGGAAATGAAGAGACCCTGCCAGGGGCAGCCACTGCCTGCTGCAGGGAGGGGGCATGACCCTGCATAGCTCCCTGATAGGAGCAAAAATAGTCATCCTCCAAAAATAAACAGGGAGCAGGAATGAGGCAGGAGCTGCAGTCCCAAAATACCAGCTTTCTTCAGCAAAGGGAGCACAGGAGGGCAGAGGGACAGGCAGGGAGCGTGAAACGCAGGAAACAGCCTCCTTATATGGGCTCATCCGCAGGGGACAGAGCTCAGTCGACTGGAATGACCATGTCACAGAATGTGAAGCCTTCAGGGGCCCAAGTGAATGGAGTTTTCTGATCTTTAAATGATTCCCCCAGATTCTTAAGATGCCAAACCAGAGAAGAGGCTACAGTGCCAAAAAAGGAGCATTTTGAATTCGGTTCTGGACACACCCAGAGACCAGGAAAAAGGGGAAAAACACACCACATATGGGCGTGCATGCCCACATAAACATCCCTATTCCCATTACACACACCCCTACCTCAAAAACACACTCCCTCCCACACAGATCCTTCCCATGCAAACAACCCTCCTCCCCTCCCACCATCCCTCTGATAGCCAGCAGGCCATGTTCCCAACACAGCCTCGCAACTCCTCACAAAGGTGCACGGAGTTACACAAATGTCACCAAAGAACCTGGGCCATAAGGCTGAGGGAAAATGCAGCATCTCCAGGGCATTCCAATGGACCTGCAATTTAATTCCCTCATCATCAAAACTAGGCTTCAGATCAAAGATATCTCAAGTGTGGCACTCCAGATCAGAGGGTGATGAGAATGACTGCCCCAGTCTTTGCACAGGGCACAACTCCATGGCATCTAGGGGTTTGATTCCAATGTCTTGCCAATGTTGTAACATCTTCCCATTCATCATACACACCAGGCAACCCTGAATGTGTCAGACCCTGACAAACACCTCACATATACCTACAGGTCTTTTATTCCTCTTGCAATAAATCAGGTAATTCTTTTTGAACTGCCTACAGGAGCACTAGCAACAGGAAAGGCAATGTTAACTGTCAGCTAAGGATAAATAGCTTTTCTTTGTTAGTTGCCTGGAAAGTGCCATAACAAGGTCACATGCCACATGCACTTTTGTCAAGTAAATAAACTTACCTTCATATACGTTCACATTTCTAAAACCTCAGCATAATTTACAATTGAGAATGCAATGTCGTGCATTGCCATAATATGGTGACAGGCAGGGACGTTGCAGCTGCAAGCAAGAGCTTGAGACAGAAAGTGGGAAGAACGTCAACCCCAGAGGGAGCAGAGCAGAACCAGAGGACATTGGTCTTCTGTAATGGAGTAAATGTGCTCCTGAACACACCTTTGGTGAAAAAGACTGGGGGCTTTAAATGATCAGAACTTGTTGGTACCTATGTGTTATATCTTGGGCAAGATTTTTAGGTATGTTTCCAGATGCAAAGCTAAGATATACACCCAAATGGTTTGGTGTTCAAAACACTGAGATGCCACCAGCTCCTGACAACTGTGTTCTCTCTCAGCTCTTGGTGCTCTTTCACTGCATTAACTAATCACTTGCTTGCTGTGGTTTGCTTTTCCACTTAAGTTTTGTCAGTTATTTATCTCCAGAAGATTTCCTCTACCTTTGTTTCTGCAGATAATCCACTTTTTCAAGGAGCGTTGCCATGGTCTGAGCTTTTTATTTTATTGTTTCTCAGAAACTCAGTTCACCATTTTTGTGATGATACTTTTACAGTATTTCTCAGGCCACATCTCTTACCAACACTTTCATACTACCACCATAATCAGTATTTTATCTCTCCCTTTGAAAAATGACTGGCCTGAATTCCATCTCTCCTGCATTGAAGTAGAAAGTCTACCTTCTTCTTTATCAGTAGTCAGGCCCTTTCTTATCAGACAGATGTAGAATTCTAATTTGACTTCCCCATTAAGGCAGAAATTTCCAGGCTACTTGTCAGATCATGTTTGCTGTTTTGAAGGTGCTAGTTGGATGTTGCTTCTCTCATGGAAGCAACTACCCTGTGTGCCTCTGGATCCTCAGGGTCCAGCAAAGTTTCTTTTAGGACCTACCACAAAACAAGCATATTATGGACACGTTGGGTCCCTCAGATTCTCAGGCAGGTCTCGAAATATGGATTAATTTACCTTCATCAACATGACAACTCCTTTGAAACAGCGAGCACTCTGTGCAGGGAAGCAGGGACTCAAATGACATTGACAGCATGCAACAGAGGACACACAGTCTTCCTGTCATCTAATACATCTCCTAAAATGTGTGGGATCTACGTTCTGCCCAATATACAAACACTGTGAAATTTGATACAGTATGTAGGTGCCTTGCTTTTATCCACTATTGACCATGGAGCAGAAAGAAAGAAGTATGGCCAGTCTCAAGCTTCCTCTTCTCCAGCGAGTCGCCTGAGGCTCCCCTGACTGAGGAAAAGCAAATCTCCACAAACAGGCCTGATGAATTAGTTTTGACTGCTGCCAATTAAGGAGCTGTAAGTCAAATAGCCCCACTGCTTCCAAGCAGCCACATAACACTTACAATCTATACCAATCTCAGAGCACACATGATATCAGAAAGGGTCAGTTACCAGATCTATGCAAGCCTCGGCTTTTTGCAAAGAACAACCCATCTCTGCTAGCCCTCTTTATCATGTCCACAGACGGTTCAAGTAGTGCATCTGATTTTAATGAATCCCCTCCAAGGACTTCTGCATATCTTAAATGCCTAGCAGAAAATACTGGATTTCCATTTCATCCACAAACTGTCCTTCTTCATGGTCATTGACCTTCCTTTACTAGGGAAAGCGCTATTGAGACAGAAATAGTTCTTGGGGGCTTCAAATATTCTCACTCATCTATCACAGCAGGTAATGGAGCAGCTCATATTGTTAAACAGCTATCAAGAATTTCTTCCCTAAAACAGTGGTCAGCTATCTAGTCAGTTTACATGTGCACCTGCTAGGAAAGCTGTCATATTGCATTTGGCACCTTAACCTGTCTCAAGAGTTACTGCTCTCCCCTGCATGATAACAGTGAAGCAGCACACAACAGTCTGATTCTTTGAGCAAGGGTTTACCAGGTAGAATCCTCTCACAACCCACAGTTATAGTGAAGTGCCCCTCCAGCCCTCCTAGCCATGAACATCTCAAACAGTTTGCTACTACCTTCTGCTACATACTGTCAGACATGTTCCCATCCATCTCTACCACTCCTACAGTTCTTTTGTTGCCTTCAAGTGGGTCCAGGAGCACTCAAAGCATGAAACAAATGTGTGGAAAAGGAAAAGCTTTTAATAAAACTGGTTTTGATGGGATTGTCCCTAATCCACATCAAGGTAGCCAAGCAGGGGGGATACTACTAGAAAAGCTGGGAAACATGGCTGACTAGAAATGCTATTTCAGTAGTTGTCATCAAAAGGCTAGTAAATAAGCTCAGAAAGCTGAAAGTTAACTGCCTTGCTGGCCAGTTGGGCCAGCACGGGAGAGAGGCAGGGCAAGGCCTTGGGGAGCTCCAGGCCATGCAGTGCTGGGGCTCACACTGGGGAAGTTGGCCTAATTAGGGAACAAAAGTTCAGCTGCATTTTTGAGATTCCTCCTGGAGAATCTGGCCAACTTCCAGCTGAGCGGTCCCCAGGAACAGGCTGGGAGTCCAGCATTTCTACAAGCAACCAGAAGACCACTGGAAGAAAAAGAAGCAATCCTGTAAAATGGAAGCAGGTAAAAAAGCCAGTGCTTCCTT